CATTGTGAGTTCTGAAAAAAATCTTCATAACCGTGTGCATCACATATGTCGTTTTACAATCATTGCTTGGCAAGTAAAATCACACTGATGTTAACTCGCTTGGAACTTCATAATCATTGTCTGTTTTTATTTTATTTCATGCTTTTCGCATAATAACAGAAATCATCAGCGAGAACTAAAGTTAAAGAAGAGAATATTCTGAAGATCCTCGAGGTTATTGATTATTTCGCATCTGTTCAACCAAGTCAAATGAATGAATGTATTGAAAATTCAACTCCTCTCTCTATGTTTATTATTTTATGTGTAGAAAAGTTGATGAAAATATCGAAATGTCAACGAATTCTTCGTAATCATAATGGAATATCAATTTTATTGAATTATTTAAAGTAGGTTATATATAGCTTTACTCAGAAAATCAAATATTTCATTTGTTAATATCAAAATTTTAAAAACTATATTCAAAGTGTAAATGGATGTTTACTTTTCCTAAAGTAAGAAAAATGTTAATTACTTGCTTGCCGATTGATTTGTTGTATTATAACTGAATAAAGACATTTCAATAATCCTATATGACAAAATTCAACAGTCAATTGTCAATAGGTTCAAGATTGTTTGTTTTCATATTTATGCCGAAGGGTTCAGTGCATGATATCCAACCTATAATCACCTAACATGATGACGTAAAATATTATCAAGTCACTTAGGCCACATTACAACTTAGTCACTAGACTTTGATAGCCACAAAGGACTAAAAAATATGACAGTAGCCATTAATCAATGATTAATTAGTTGTAGATGTGAGAAATTAGAGATAAAGAAATATTTTGTCTACTTTGAAATTTAGTATACATATTTTTCTTTCGCTAATAGTGCAGTTTCGTTCTCTGAGCTGGATTTTTTGGTTGTGGAGCTTTCATTGTTCTGCTGAACAACGTAGCAGAGTATTCAAATTTCTCCACATATAACTCTTAGCTTGCCCCGTTCACATCAGTTGGTTGTTGTTGACCTTTGGCTTGTCATTGCCTGCCTCCTCATTTTGATTGTATCCCTCTTTGGTCGGGTTTTCGATCCTGTTTGCCTATGATTTTTCTGATTGGTTGATACATTTAATCAATTACATTGTGTTTGCTCATTGCTGATTTACGTGAGTGCCAAGCATTTAAAATTCTTTCGTTTTCTTCGACTTCCCTTAATTTAACATATAGACGTTTTTCCAAACGAGTATATGCCTATAATTGTTCACATTTATAAATAAGAGGGGATACATATCACGATGTTTGACTGTTAACTAATGTTCACGTAACTGTTGTTCTGAAGAACAATGCAAGCTCCACTGATAAACCATCCAGCCTACAGAACGAAACTTCACCATAATCCTCCATCTGAGCTATTGACTTTCTCCATAATTTCTTTCTTCTACACAAAGCAGTAATTGAGTAAAAGGATTGGTGTACTAGGTTTCGAATCAGCCCCTTTTTTTACAAAGCTTAGTTATAACTAACCAATTGCCAGAACCAAAGTAGTTGTTTTAAAAGTTCAGAAACTGTTGGTTGAAAATGGATAGCTTCTATTCAAAAGTTATCAACCCGTATTTTTATAGTGATGCGCATCAGTTACTTTTGATGTAAAAAATCTGATTTTTTTTTTCAAATCGAAATTAAAAACACTCACATTGACCGCACAGCCCGATTTTCAGTTTTAGTTTATTTTATCTTCAATTTTGTTGAATCTATTTTAATCCACGATAGTATCAAACTACAGTAAAACTGTCATGATTATAACTCCTTAGTTTCTGATTAACAGTCATCCAATTACTGAAAATCTCTAATTTCTTCACTTGTAGATCTAGGACCGAACGATTTAAGTTAATTTCCATTTTAAATCGTGTAGCCAATGAGAATGTTTAATAGACATCATCGATGTTTCTTCAAATTATTAAGTGTAACTTGAACAATCTAAGATAAGCTAAATGTTTTATCTGATACTCAATCAACAATGGACCACTGCAATTTCAATGGCATGAAATTAAAACACAAAAGATTGTGGTACAAGTAATGATTTATCCACTCCAATATGTGATGATTCTAGTCGAGAAAGTAAACTGTTTTACATACTGATTTCTAAACCCTTTTGATTATAATTTAAGAAAAGGTCACATTTACTAAAAAAATGCCTGACATCATAACCAAAATGACAAGCTACAACATAACATGCTGAACATAGTTCACATCGATTTGCTGCAAAGAATATCATCTCATGAATAGATACAACGTTAAAAAAATGAAATTAATCCCATATTAGGCGAATTAGGGCACTAAAATTGAAACAAATATTTTCAAGCCGTTATAACATTGAATTTGAAAAAAAAGAAAACACTGAAAAAATAATTTTACACTAATCACACTGAATTAAGAAAAGAATATAATTTCATTTCATTTGTAAATTGCTTAGCAAAATCCTTTCAAATGATTAGCAATTAAAATTTTTTATTAAAATATGTAACATGCTTCGTATGGTAGGGTTGGTGTAAAAATATATTTCTATAAATTTCAGAGGATGTTTACGGTTTAAATCCAATTCGAACAATTGTAACGGCGTAAGCCGACGGTCTGACTGTTCAGTATGTTTGAATTCAGCGATGCTTCCCATGAAAAATACGGAAGAATGTCTCTGTGAAACAAAATTAGTGAGTTGATTACCGTACTTTAAATTATTATTTGTGGATAAATTTAACTGATTGTAAATAAATATATGTTTTGAATAATAATAATAATTTCCTAATTATTTGTAGATATAAATGGATAATATTAATGTTTAAAGCTTGTTTAGTTAGTTAGTTAGTTAGTTTCTAGAGTTTTATCAAACTTTAAACTGTGAACTGTCTTTAACCGAATGTGCTCGGAATGAAATAGTTATCAGTGTATTACTGATGGTTAATGTTTGTATATTGTATGGACCAATGAACTCATCACTAATTCAAACGAAAGTTGCTTGTTGTGAAAGGCTTGCTGGAAAGATTTTATTATTAGGATGAAACAATTGTCTAGTATTCATTGTTTTGCAATGATCTTCTAGCTATTGTCGACTTGTGAAAACCATTGATATCACTTCTGTTTCCACAGCTTTTAGATATCATTCCAAGTTGTCTGGTAATGGGCATTACTTACTGCATGGCTGCCTAACTGTTTTTCTAATTGTTCCAGAAATTATATTCTTAGCTTTATCATCATTAGGTAGAAAGAACCCTAAGAGGTTTCCTCGCGGTATCTTTCCTAATTCGAGTAAGCCCCAAACATATACGCGATCGTACTAGAGCATGTTCTGAATCTAAACATGTGCTCCAGAATGAGCGGCAGTCTTCAACAGGTGTCTGATTGCGATGTGATATGGCTGGGTCCAACATTGAAACAACTTTGGGGGTCGTCAGGTCAAAAGTTAATTTTCCTTATGCCTGAAGTTAGTGTTTGTTAGAAATAGGCACTTATCTGAGCACATTTGAAACAGACGGTCTCTGCTGTGTGTTCGATCAGCTGAAACACCATAAGATCCACTCAGGTGTCTTTCCTGTTCGCTGAGTCTACTTACTTGAGCATTGAAGTCCCCAGCCATCATTACTACATCAGGATTCGATGTAGGATTCGATTGTAACCGATTTCGGGTTTTAGAGGTATGAGGGTGAATGTTACTTCGTGTCTGCCCATACCGTGGACGGGTTCTGATTGTCAGAAGGGGCATCGGCTTCATGACTTCCGAAGGAACTCGGCCTTTATCGTGAGACGTCATAACCCTCTAACTCCCCGTGCAGAGTTAAAATCTTTTGAATAATTTTTTCTGCTTAGCAGTTTTTTAGCGAGTTAGTTTTCATCGGGATGTGGTCGCTAACCCCAATCCCAACCTTCCTATTTTATCCGGGCTAAGGACCGGAAGTAGCTCCGGATGGGCTTCAGCCGGAGTTCTTATCCGTCAGGTTAAGCGCCTTCACACTAGGTTGAAGATTCTAGATTTGATTCTCGGTTGTAAGGTCGTGAATGTGTACTGTTGATGAAAAAATGACCTCTCAGTGTTTCTAGAATCTCAGTGCTTGTCTAACTTATATCAGTTTGTGGTTTTAAAAATACTCAATCGATCTCTACAATCGCATAATGACATGAATTTTCCGCTTGATTTATTTTTCTCAAGGTTCATAATTTTAACCAATATACTATTAGGTGCAATACATGTAAGTTTTCATATGTCAAATTTTTATTTAATTATTATTAAATACTACTTTGAATAACCAATATAATCTGAACAATCCTCCTTTTATTAAAAATGATAAACTAAAGGAACTTTATAGATGATAGAATGGGTTAGTTATTATCAAAACAACAGTAGTAGATGTCTACTACCTAAATAAACTTTTGTTTTTTAATATATTTTATCCTGACTATTTTGCAATCAATCAACAAATGTGTATATAAAAAGTTAATCTATGTCATATTATAACCATAAATGCATCATGGTATTATCTGATTATCTAAACTACATCTACCACTATTGGATTTGAAACGAAAATTGCATCTCTGTACTAATGTGGTATGGCAACCTGAACTGGTGTTCGTACATACGAAGTTCTATGTTCTAGCGGACTTATTGACTTATCTGATTGATTGTTAGACTCATTAAATAGATATAGAGATTGTTGTTTTTCATATGAAATCAAGAATCGATCACCATTAGAAACCTGAAAGCATTGGATGGTCGTTTCGTTGTAGTATGGGACTCATCAATAGTGCTCATCCACGACCCTCGCTCACGTGAATCGAACACAGGACCTCCGGTCTCGCGCGCTAAATCTTTACTTCCAGACCACTCTAAGCCGGCTGCCAACGATCTTAATTTCTATACAATTAGAAACAACTATTAAACAGTTTGTCCAGAATAGCTGATAAGCAAAACACATATTGTATCTCATACTGAACGATATTTACGAAATAATTGTTAAATTATTTGTAAATATTATGATTGATCTGTTAGAATGTATTATAAATATAATTTGGAAAGTGACTAGGTTTATTGGTGATGATGGTCTAACAAGTAATTAAAGTACTTGATTTTTGATTGTCTTATTTTTTCATGAAGCAATATGTGGAATATTATCTCAGTTGGCAATGAATGATTTTTATGCTCAAATTATTGCACGTGAAAATGGTATTCATTTGATTGGTTCACAATTATTAATTAAATATCCTAGAAATTGTGAAAAACAATGTGTGATAACTGAGTCCGAATTAAAACAAACTACTAACATTGAATATCAACAGACAATAGATATAAATGAATTCGATTTAGGGAATATTCACTATTTATATGTAAGTGGTCATTTTAAAAGTATATAGTTACTTTTCAACCTGATGAAAATTTTATTCAGAAAACAATGAAAGTTAAAATTACATTTGTACAACAATATACATTTTGTATATGTATTACGAGCATGCCAGTGTTAGAAGTGCTTACGGTTGGGTTTTTGAATTGTCGATTTAAGCGTATTGAGCTTAATTGATAAAAAAATGAACTCTAGCTTAAAATCACATACAATCATTAGGTGTTCCTTCTTAAGGCATTCTCAATAGAAATTTGTTGCTTTCTGACGAATTTTATTGATATTCTGTTTGATTGGAAACGGTGGTGACAATCGTTTATCTACACAAATTTCGTAAATTTAAATAATGTTCACTCCAGATCTATCCACGAGAATTATCTTTCATTTTAGTCTCGCTTGAAGAGAAGGGTAGTTCTAAATGACCTGTGCTTCTTTTAGTATGCTCATCCTATTTTGAGGCATATCGTTCATATGTTTATACACACATTTTCTTTTACTTTCTAAAATCAATCTTCTTTGCTCTCTAACATTAATTTCTTTTATGTAAGATTTGTCTCTTAATCTCATGGGAACAATGATGTCTCGATATCGAAAGGAAAGCAATAGGTTACTTGGCGCTGATTGAAATACTTTCCTTGTTAAACAAATATATTAAAATCTTGTTAACCTTATCTAATGATTTTAAATTTTCTATTCTCTCCATTTTCTTTTTTTTTCCTGGCATCATTTATCACAAGGCAAATGCGTTTTGTGCATTGCGCAGGCTATTTATATCGGAACATAATCGACGTTTAATTAAATCATTTTTGCCATCATCTTTATTATCGGAATTAATTGACATTGACATCACGTCAACAGTTATAAATGATTATGCAAAATTAGTGGAACTACTTGAATCATTGAATGTAAGTTATGAATAATTTTAAATAGCATTGTCTATTGAATATCATTATTCGTTTAATGTGTGTTTTGAAAAGAATAATAACAGTGCATTTATTCGCACAATTATATAAATTCACTTTGTTTTATTCGACAGATTGTCAACTTGTTTACACAATTTGTGATAGATTTAAAAATCAAAATTACAAAGATAAATTGAAAATACTAACAGCAAATAAGTTTTGTTGGATATTATTGTGAAAAGATACTAATTTAGAGTAAAATGAAGATATATATCTCATATATTATATATTATTATTTGTATAAGTGACTTATACGAACACATTGTAACACACGTAATCAGCAGTCACTGATGGGCAGAGAGGATCTAAAATCACAACACACAAGGTTAGTTCAACGTCTCACACCCAGAGAGAACACTAAGTTGTTGTCACGGCACTCTTTTATTTGAAAATCGAATACGCGGGCTTTTTACAGGAATGGGGTGAGTAGTGTACCAATGTCTTATGAGTCATCCTGTAAGTTTAGAGCACTCAGGGCTTGTTCTTCAGCTTCCAAAGCGTTTGTGCTTGATCGCCCTGAAACAGAAAGAAAACAGAGCGAGTCAGCAACATCATACATAGTGATTTTGACTCCGTTACACATTGTTAGTCATGAAAGACAAACAAACTATGTATCAATGATTACATGATATAACAAACAGTAATCATAAGAACTGAATGAATAAAGCTCAGTTAGTTTGAAATATAATTATTATTGAAATGGAATAAAGTTGACTGGAAGTCGATAGAATTTCATGATATAACAAAATAGATCAGAAATATCCACAACCTTTTCCTCATGGATACATAAATTAGGTTTTGATTACGTGAGAGTAATAGTTCCAGTGAACTTTGGAAAAGTGGGGCTTAGTTGTTTATGATTCACTTTGAAAAGGTATCAACTTGAAGTTCCATCTCCAAGTTATATCTGTGGATGAAGTTATTTTTTTCTTTCGATCATAGGCTTTTTGAAAAATTTCAAAAAATTCAAGATAAGCCCTTCTTCTTACTTTGACTAATGTAGATGCTTTTAGAGACATACATAATTCAATAGACATAGTCAACGGTAACATGAAGAAAGTGTTTGTGGAATTTTTATTGAATCATTAAACTTATAGTTTAAAACATAACAAGTAATCAAACTTTGAGGTATTTTTCGGCTAATAGAGTGTTGAAACATCTATTAATTATCCCTATTAATTGTCTTTTAAGTTGAGATAATTAGTGATTGATTTTCCATGGATTACAGCTAAATTCAACTTGTTACCCTTTGATTTGATTTCATTTAAACAACTAATTTAACCTTAACCATACTTAAAATCCTTCTATTGGTCTAATTTATCATATTTATTTGAAGTTTATGTTTGAAACTTGAGCTGACAAGTCTCTAGGCACATAAAAATGATTACCCATAATTTCAGTCGTTATAGTTATATGTGTTATGAATGATATATGATAAAGTAATCTTTAAAATGCTTGTATTTTCATTTTGAGATTGAATATCTAGCATTTATATCAAGTACTTACTTACTTACATCTGTCACCGCTTATTGAGCATAGGCCACCGACCAGCGAATTGTTTTTTATGATTGGCGTTTTTTTAGCGATCTGGATTCTTACTTGACGGAGTCGCTAACTCCGTTCTCAACCTTCCTCCGTTATCCAGGTTTGGGATCGGCATTTACCCCCGCCCCCCAAATGGGCTCCAGGCGGAGTTATTTTTAGTTTTAGTTTTGCGAAATTAATGAATACCAGTTAAAATAGTCGGTATTATATATATATATATATATATATATATATATATATATATATATATATATATATATATAATTATTGAATGTAATGTAACTTGAATTACTAATGTGTTTACCTATATGAATAAATGAATGAATGTATTGTAGTGATCAATCGTTTTTCTTTTATTCTATAGGATGAAGAATACAATGCACTTATTAATGGTATCATTTCTTGTGATATAAATCGTACACCAATTTACAATATACGTGATTATTCAATATTAGAATTACTTGGAACTGGTGCATATGGTAAAGTTTTTAAAGCGTCAACGCATAAACTGCCTCGGAATATTTATGCCATTAAAAAGGTACTTCTTGTTAATAATGATATGTGACAAAGATGATTATTAGTTAACTTTGGTGTTCGTCTTTAAATAAAAAAAAACGAAGCACACAACCTTATTAATATGATTCATTTGAATTGCACAAAAACAGAATTTTGACATGACAAAATCATTGTCGTATTTACAATCATAAGTCATTTTTTTACTAACAGAGTATCGATATATATATATATATATATATAAATATATATATATATATCAGGCATTTGATCAGTAGTCAGTAAAATCATGCCTAGCTGAAATAGTAGAAATACTAAATGGATTCATTATTAAATAAACATGCATTTAATGCAGTTATAGCACGGCCATTAGGAAGAAAATGCCTCACACACGCCAAAGAGTCGCACTGCTTTTATCTAAAACGTACAAAAATCACTGTTTGGATGAAAATCTCATGGACCGAGGGTTATCAAAGTATCCTTCAAGACAAAGAAGAAGGAGATTACAATGAATATGATCCAAAGCTATACGCTCACCAAAAATGTAAATAATTGATTACATACAATATCACAGCCTATCAGCGATAACATTGCAGACAATAAAAATCATTTTAGTGAGAGTCTTCAATCAATCTCAGAGAAGTGCCCAACAAATGATTGAAATATTTTAATAAAAGACCTAAACGCCAGGACTGGAATGAATGACACCCGATGTGAAGACATCACGAGACGGCATGAACAGGGAGAAAGATCGAAAACAGTGAGAGATTCGCAAATCTATGTGCTTTCAACAAAATGATTGTAGCTGGAAGCATATTCCCACACAAATGCATATACTAAACTGCAAAGGTTTTTACTGAGTCACAGTTTGCAGAATCAAATTGATAACATCTGTATCACTTACAGGTTCAGAAGGATGATAGCAGACGTGAGGATCAAGATAGGAGCTGACATAGTTTCAGACCACCACTTGGTGATGGCCGAGATGAAACTGAAACTAGAGAACCACTGGAAAATGGCTGAACAACATTGCATAAGTTTGATATGTTCTTCGTTTGAAATACTGGCAAACTCAACGAACTCAAGATAACCACAATCAATAAGCAATAAGTTTCAAGCCGTTCTTGCTATACTCAATGGAGAAGAAACTGCCACGCAGAACAACTGTAAGTGTATCGAGGAAGCATTATCTTCAGTACATGTCACGAGGTTCCGGGTCACCAGAACCACCATCACAAGGAATGATTCTTTGTTGATACTGTGTATGAAAATGAGGAAAGAAACAACAAGAATACAGCAATCAAAAATAGCCGAATAGAAACAGGGAAAGCCAAGTTACACAAAATAAACTCACAAATGGAGAGGAGCGTTAGAATTGGTGCGCGGAAAAATGTGGTTGATCTAGCCAGAGGGGAAAACATCAAGCAACTATGTCATACAACCAAGAATTTCTCTGGAAGACACAGAAAACCATGATGGCTAGTGAAGAATAAAGAAAGGAAAGCAATCACCGATTTCCAAGAACAGGGAAACAGATGTGTAGAACACCTTGAACAACTTTTGAAATAGACCAGCCTCACTGAACCTATCAAGCATTGACTCAGCCTTAACGCATCTACCATTCGACTTCGACTCAACTGCAAATGAAGAATTCAGCATAGCCGTCAGACAAATTAAGAGTGGTAAAACAGCAAAACCGCATGAACCACAAACTGATGCATTGAAAGTAGACATACCAGTAACTGCAAAGATGTTTCACACTCACTAAAACAAGATTCGGGATGAACGATATGTAGCAAGAGGCCGGAAATAAGGACAATTAATCAGGAACTCTGTGAAGATCAACCATGTACCGACGAAATCGCACATGAAACTAAGGATCATCGTGAAACAATCATTTGAATGGAACTTACAGTCTTACATC